GGCCGAGGTGGGTGGATCACCAGGTCAGGAGATCGAGACCATCCTGGCTAACACAATGAAACCCCATCTCTACTAAAATACAAAAAAATTAGCCGGGCCGTGGTGGTGAGCACCTGTAGTCCCAGCTACTCGGGAGGGCTAAGGCAGGAGAATGGCGTGAACCTGGAAGGCCGAGACTTGCAGTGAGCCAAGATCGCACCACTGCACTCCAGCCTGGGCGACAGAGTGAGACTCCGTCTTAAAAAAGAAAAAAAAGAAAAAAAGAAAAAAAAAGATGTTGAATAAGCAATCTAACTCAATTCCTCAAGAAACTTGAACAAGAACAAAATAATCCCAATCCCAATGTTAGCAAAATTATGGAAATAATAAGAATTAGAACAAAAAGAGACTAAATAAAGACTAGAAAGACAATAGAAAACATCAAAGAAACTGAGTTGAGTTTTTCAAAGAAAACAAAATTGAGAAACTTTTGGCCAGATTAAACAAAGGAACAAAAAGAGAGAGGACTCAAAAAATTACAAATGGGCTGTGTGCACTTGCTCATGCTTGTAATCCCAGCGCTTTGGGAGCCCAGGAGTTGGAGACCAGCCTGGACAACATGGCGAAACCCCTCTCTCCAAAAAGTACAAAAATTAGCTGAGCATGGTGGTATGCACCTATAGTCCCAGCTACTTGGGAGATGGGAGAATCACCTGAGCCTGGGAGGATGAAGCTGCAGTGAGTCATGATCATGCCACTGCACTTTGGCCTGGGCATCCAAGTGTGACCCTGTCTCAAATAAATAAATAAATACATAATGAGTCATGACAATTGACAACACACAAATACAAAGAATAATAAGAGACTACTATGAACAATCATATGACAACAAATTGGATAACTCAGAAGAAATAGATTCTTAGTAATGAATGACTCACCAAGATTAAATCACAAAGAAACAGAAATACTGAACAGACCAATAATAAGAAAGGAGATTGAAGCAGTTATAAAAAATCCAATGAGAAAAAGCCTATGACCAAATGACTTCATGGGTGCATGGCATCACACATTTAAAGATGAATGAATGTCCATCCTTCTCAAATTCTTCCAAAAAATTGAAGGGAAAAAACACTGCCCCTTAGTTTGCATGTAATGAAAAGTGGGTATATAAGTACATGACTGCAGAACTGCTCCTCTCAGCACACTGCCTACAGAGGAGCCTCACTCCACAGGAGCAGTCATAGAGCTGCAACACTGCCAGCTCAATAAAGCTGTTTTCTTCTACCACTACCTTGCATTTGAATTCTTCCTGAGTGAAGCTATGAACCTTCCCAGGATAAGCCCCAATCTGGGGGCTCACCTGCCCTGCAACAAGAGCAATTAGATAAGAAAAAGAAATAAAAGGCACTCACATCAGCAACAAAGAATTATAATTCTCTCTGCTTGCAGATTAGGTGATTTTATATACAGAAAATCCTGAAGGGTATACAAAAAGAGTTAGAGCTAATAAACTCATTCAGTAAAGCTGAGGTCACAAAATTAACATACAAAAATTAGTTGCATTTCTATATACTAACAATAAACGATCTGAGAAAAAAAGTTAAGCAAACAATCCAATTTATAATAGCATCAAAAAGTATAAAATTATTATGACTCCATTTAATAAAGGAGGTAAAAGATCTGCTTATTAAAATCCGTAAGACACTGATGAATGTAATTGAAAAAGACACAAATAAATGGAAAGATAGACCTTGTTCATGGACTGGAAAAATTAATACTGATAAAATGTCCACACTCCACAAAGTGATATACAGATACAAAGTAATCCCTATTAAAATTCCAATGTCAGTTTTCACAGAAATAAAAATAAATTCTAAAATTTATTTTATTTTATATATATATTTTGAGACAGAGTCTCGCTGTTGCTCAGGCTGGAGTGCAGTGGCCTGCTCTTGGCTCACTGTAACCTCCACCTCCTGGGTTCAAGCAATTCTCTTGCCTCAGCCTCCTCAACAGTTGAGATTACAGGTATGCGCCACCACACCTGGCTAATTTTTGTATTTTTAGTAGAGACAGGGTTTCGCCATGTTGGCCAGGCTGATCTTAAACTCCTGGCCTCAAGTGATCCACCTGCTTCGGTCTCCCAAAGTGCTGGGATTACAGGTGTGAGCCACCACATCTGGCCTTCAAATTTCTATAAAACCACAAATGACCCCAAATAGCCAACACAATCATAAGAAATAAGAATGAAGGTAAAGGCATCACACGTCTTCATTCCAAGCTATTACAAAGCTATATAGTGAGTATTATATTGACCTAAAAAGACACATAGACCAATGGAACAGAACAAGGAAACTAAAAATAACCCCATGTGTACACAGTTAGCAATCTTTGACAAGGGCACCAAGATACACAAAGGGAAAAGTATGGTCTCTTCAATAAATGATGCTGGAAAAGGTGGATATTTATGAGCAAAAGGACGAAATTGAACATTTATACCATATACAAAAATGAACTCAAAAAGAATTAACACTTAAATGTAAAACCAGAAATTGTGTAACTTTTAGAAGAAACACAGGGAACAAGCTCTTCGACATCAGCCTTGGTACTGAATTTTTAGATTTCACACCAAAAAAGCACAACCAACAAAATCAAAAAACAAAAACAAGTGGGCCTACATCGAACTAAAAAGTTTCTGCACAGCAAAGGAAACAAAGAACAACATGAAAAGGCAACCTAAGGACTGATCTAAGGACTGGGAGAAAATATATCTGATAAGAGTTTCATATCCAAAATATGTAAGAATCTCACACAACTCAATTGCCAGTAAAAGTAAATCTGACTTAAAACTATTCAAAGGACCTGACTAGAAATTTTTCCAGGGATGACATAAAAGTAGTAAACAGGTTTAAGAAAAGGTGCTCAACATAATTAATCATCAGGGAAATGCACATCAAACCTCAATGAGCCATCACCTCACATTTACAGAGAGATACCACAATGAGATATCAAATCATGAGATATCACCTCATACTGTTAGAATGGCTACTACCAAAGAGACAAGAGATCACAAATGTTGGTGACAGTGTGGAGAAAAGGAAACATTGTACACCGTTGGTGGAAATGTAAATTGATCCAGCCATTATGGGAAAAAGCATGGAGGCTCCTCAAAAAATTAAAAATAGAAGTACCATATGAACCTCTAATCCTATTTCTAAGTATATACCTAAAAGAAATACAATCTGGCAGGAGCAGTGGCTCACGCCTGTAATCACAGCACTTTGGGAGGCCGAGGCAGGCAGATCACTTGAGGCCAGGAATTCAAGACCAAACTGGCCAACATGGCGAAACCTTGTCTCTACTAAATATACAAAAAAATTAGCCAGGCGGGGTGGCACAAGCAGGTAATCCCAGCTATTCGGGTGGCTGAGGCAGCAAAATCGCTTCAACCTGGGAAGTGGAGGTTGTAGTGAGCCAAGATGGCACCACTGCACTCCAGCCTGGGCAACAAAGTGAGACTCCATCTCAAAAATAAATAAATAAATAAATAAATAAATAAATAAATAAATAAAATAAAATAAAATCAGTTAAAGAGATATCTGCACCCCTATGTTCATAGCTGATTATTCACAATATATAGTGGAATATTATTCAGCATAATGAAGAAGGTAATCCTGCCATTTCTGACAACATGGATGAATGAACCAGGTAGACACTATGGTAACTGAGTAAGAGAAATACAAATACTGTATAATATCAGTTATTTGTGGAATCTAAAAAAAGTTGAGCTCATAGAAGTAAAGTATAGAATGGGTCCCAACAGCTGACAGGTGGTAAAACTGGGGAGATACTGGTCAAAGAGTACAAACTTTCATTTAAAAGATAAATTCTGGGGATCTAATGTACAGCATTGTGAATATAGTTTACAATACTCATATATACTTAAGATTTGCTAACACAGTAGATCTTTAATGTTCTCTCCACAAAAAACCTGGCAACTGTGAGATGATTAATATGTTAATTAATTTCATTGTATTAATCAATACACACTGTATACATAGATAAAATCAAATGATCAGGATGCACCTCTCAAATATATATAATTTACAAGTGTGGGGAAAAAATCCACATGAAAGAAGGAAGGAAAAGAAAAAAGAGAAGGAAGGAAAAGAAAAAAGAAAAGGAAGAGAAAGAAAACAAACATAAAGAACACATTCTCATTAAGCTTCCCGCTTAACCAGACAAAATTATAAAATGTTATGAATATATAAGGTAAGAGTTGAAAGTTTACTATATACTGAACAATGTTCTCAGCTCCCCATAGATATTTATTTACTTAAGAATTCTACATAGTATTATATTAAATGATTTTAAATCTGTGGAATTTGTGCATACAGATATTATATTTCTAATCTTAGTTTAGACTAGGAAAGATGAAAAGTTGAAGTGAAATACAGGATCAGATTTTTTTTTATATTTAGGAAGATGTTTTGCACTGTGATGAATTACTGAGTCTCAATTTTTGTAGGATCATCTTGGAAACCACCATAGGATTAGAAATTAATATACCAGAAAATACGTGGCATCTATCCACAGAATTCCTGGGACTTTTGAAAAAAATCCTACTGTCCATCACTCATCTCACACATTTCTGACATGACGCAAAACCAGAACTTTAAAAGGGGTTCCACATAGAGGTAGAAACATGCCCAGACTTTCCCAGAGCCCCCAAATCAATGCAAGGGCAGTCAGATCACACAGGCCCTCATAGGCCAAGGGGAGCACTTTGGCTGTCACTGTGAATTTGATGGTGGATCACAGAAGGGGAAGGAGAATCATTAGATAATTTAAGGGAATGAGACAGAAGATGTCCCTCTGTGACAGCAAGAGAAAGAAGTAAACCCAAGTGTCTCAAAAATCATTTCCATTGGAGAACTTCCCAATCCACACTCCAAGGTCTGGTTCTTTCTTGACTGCTGGACCTCTCACTCATGTCATCTACTTCATCTGCTCCCACCTACCTGGCTGGATGGCTACTGTCTCCTCACTCTTCACATTCCAGGGCTCTTTCCTTTGCTCCAAAAAGGTGATCAGGTCCGGCTTAGAGACAGCGAGACCTGTTTTATTAGAAAAAGTCACATGACTCTTGCTGGGAGTTCTTTAATTGCCAGCTCAGTAGGATACTCAGTAAAGAGGGAACATTATAGAGGATCCTAGAAAATTACTTCCCCAAACACTGTTTCCTGTCAGCTTCTTTACAATATTTAGGAAGCATTTTAAACAAAGGAATCCTGAGCTTCACTTCCAAGTATGACTAAATCAAAAATAAGGAGAAGGAATGGATTTTAAAGTGTGGGCAATCATAGTTTATGTCACTCCATTTCTAGAATCACCACTAAACTACAGTGAAGCTTCGACATCATCTCAAGAAAGAAGGCAAATGTCAAGATCAAACATTAGGAAGTTTTTTTTACAACAAACCCACAGTTTTTTTTTTTCCTGGAAGCAGGAACCTGAATTCATTCATATAAAGCATAAGCTCCCAAGTGACATTCTACAAAGGACAGAAATAAAACCCTTAGTTATTAGATGTTAGATATTCCAAAGGCAAGTTATCCTCACCCAGAGAGACCAGGTTTCTGTAGTTCTCTAACATCACATCCCCATATAAAAGCTTCTGATCTGAGTCCAGGTGTTCCCACTCCTCCTGAGAGAATTCTATGGCAACATCCCTGAATGTCAACAGTCCCTGAAATAAAAATAAATAGCACATTGACCATGTGGCCATGGGCAGAGTTCATCATTTGGCAAACCAAGATGAAATAAGAGAGCTAAGAAAACTGACTCTGATTTATATGAGTGACCTGAAATATTCAATAAGATACTTTCAAACACAATAATATTTTCTAATGTATTCTCTAACTCTATGGAAAGAGAATGATATAAGATCCACAAAACCAGTGTAGATACTATGCCTATCTAGAATATAAAGTATAAAACTAAGGCATCAAGGCCAGGCGCGGTGGCTCATACCTGTAATCTCAGCACTTTGGGATGCTGAGGTGGGTGGATCACCTGAAGTTCGAGACTAGCCTGGTCAACATGATGAAACCCTATCTCTACTAAAAATACAAAAAATTAGCTGGGCGTGGTGGCACAAGCCTGTAATCCCAGCTACTCAGAAACCCGAGGCAGGAGAATCGCTTGAACCAGGTGGTGGAGGTTGCAGTGAGCCAAGATTGCACCACTGAACTCCAGCCTGAGCAACAAGAGCAAAATTCCATCTCAAAAAACAAAAACAAACAAAAAACTAAGGCATCAACATAGGAATATACACTTTTGAGTCTATATTTACATCATCTACAATCAGTTGTGTATAATTCTCAGGTGGAAAAGTCATGGTGACTTAGAGGCATACTTCTCAAATTGTATTGTATTCAACAATAAACTGCAGAACTGGTTCAAATGCAGATTCTGATTCAGGAGATTTGGGGCTGGGGCTGGGGCTGCGTTTCTGCATTTTTAACAAGCTCATCAGTGATGCCAATGCCTCAGGTCCAGAGGCCACACTTCTGAACAGCAGAGAGGTAGAACACTGAGGGAAGAATGCAGGGATGATGTGGAATTGAGAGTTTTATGAAATTTACAGGTTATAACATAATAGAAAGAATAGTAGAATCCTTTTTGAACATTTACTATTTCCTAGATGTCATCCTAGCAGTTTTTCATGTATTGATAAAACCATAAAAATAATCTATGTGAGAAATAATACTATTCTTCCTCTTTAATAAAAATGTTTTGCTAATGCTTCCCCTGTCTCAAGCCTGAAAAAAAAATTTTTGCCAAATATCTAGTATATAATAGAGCTTACTTTATTTTTTATTTATTTATATCTATTTATATTTATTATTTTACCCCAGTATCTAACTTAGAATTCATTTCAAAGGGACATAACAGGCCAATATGCAGAGATAAGTATAAAAGAATGTTCAGAGCAGGTGTCACAACTGAGAAGATGATGAAAACAGGAAGGCAGCAACACAAAACTAATCAAATGATGTTTATGTCATACACACACACACACACAGAAATGGTAACTATACATACATGAAAAGTGACAGAACATTTCTTAATTAAGAAATATTTTAAGTTGTGTTAAAACTATAAAACTCTTTATGGATGATGCCTTTTTCTGTTTTTTAACAAACTATGAAGACTAATATATACAATGATATAAACTAAAATAAAGAGCTTCTGTTTCTGAGTCTAGTTTTTTTCCCCCAAGTTTTTGTTTTATTTATTCTAAGTGCTGTGTTATATTTTAGAATATTAAGACAGTAGATATATTAATTATATGTTAATTGTTGTTATCTTTCTCTGAAAATACAGAGAATAAAGGAGTGTATGCTTGTGAAATTAGTAAATTAAAAAGGAAACCTACAGAAGTGAGGCTTGTTTCAGAACTTCCAGTTTCAAAAACCAGTATTTACAGTCAACAAATGCGAGAGCCTTCACTCTCCAAAGCAACCCACAAGCAAAAGGAAACTAGAAAGCAATGGGAGTCTCTGGATTAAATGAGATGGTTTATATGCATCACTCAGTAAATCCTCCCTCCTAGATACTCATTAACAACAAAGAGAAAAATAACTAGTGAAGGAATCCGGCAGAGAGCACCCGAACCAGAGGAATGAAGTTAGCATCCGCTGTAATGAGACGAACCAGTATCAGTGCTGACGCACAGATGGACCCATAATCATTATCGTGATATCAGTGAGGGAAAAAAAGTAAATCATGATCTGAGTATAATAATAAAATCTTTGGAGGAACATACAGGTGGCCATATTTCTTCAAACTGGCCATGTGACCCTACTTAGAAGCCTGGGCTGAGAACCACTTAGCTAAGCATTCCTCTCAAGCTTCAATATGCATACACATCATTTGGTATTCTGGGGCCTGTGCTAAGTACTGTGATTCTGCAGGTTTGGAAAAGTTCCATGAATCGGCTTAAGACCCATTATCATTAGCACACAGCTAGAGGAAGCGGGCACAGCACACAGAGTCCCTTACACTCAATAAAGTATAATACAAATACTTTTCATTCACAGCGAGGACCACCAACCACTGTCTTGAAAAATCACATCCTTTGCCAGCCATTTAAAGTCTGCAGAGGCTGGAGAGAACAGTAACATCTAAGTCAGCATTTGGAAAACAGCATGGATACATGCATGAAAGCACTGTTTACTGAGCTTGTACTATGTGCTCACAATATGCACTGTGCTGGCAACATCACATGATGTGAGTTAAGCCACATAAACCCCTGGGATGTGGGTCCTGAGCATCCCATAATTCCCTGCAAGATTTAGATGATGGCCCAGACTTTCTCTCTCTTCTTCTGTTTCCCTGTCACTACAAAAGCTAACTACAGACTGATGGGAGGGATACGGAAAAGAAGGGTAAAGTTTAGTTCATAAGGATTTCTCACTGTAGTCTTTACATTGACTTTGTTACTACTTGCGGAGCAACTACTGGGTCTGCAGGAATGGAAAAAAGGTTGCCAGGTGGGATGTCTCTAGAAGCACTGTTTCAAAGAAGAAAAAAATTCAGGCCCCCATATTGTCCTTTGCTCCCATTTAACTGCTTTTGGGTTTGGGGAAATTGTGAGCACTGGCTCTGGAGAACCAGCAAGAGCAACCACTCAGAAGTCTGATCTCCAACAAACAGTTCTGTGAAGGTAGGTTCCAAGGTGGGGCCAGACCTGAACCAAGTTCAGAAGAGGGTGGATTTGGGCAGGGTTAGGGCAGACCAAGGCAAGGGGCACGTGGCAGGCCCTAGGCTTCCCATCTCTATCTTGCTGATGTAAGTCCTGTCTTTCCTAAGCCTGACCACAAGAACTTGACTCCCAGAGTTTTTCTGATTTTAACTATTTGTTTCATCCTTAACTATTTTGTAAATCCATTAACAAGCAATTTAGTCAAAACATGTAGGGCCTTCTGGGAAATTATGTTAAAAACCAAATCAAGAGAAAATCGATAGAAATAATAATAATAACAACTCTTCTGTCCATGGGTGGCACTTCGGGTGGTGACATCAGAACTCACAATGTCAACATAAGGGCAGTGTCCCAAATCAAGCCCAAGTTCCCCATATACCTCCGTGCTTGCACAGGACCACATGATGCTGAATTTGGCCATTATCCACCTGCTCTAGACTGAAAGTTCCTGGATGGTAGGGACTATGGCTGCTACAAGTGTTGATCTAATGGCCATATGAAATGGAAGCAATTGGTTTACCTATCAGTATGAGACTCCAGAACTCCTCTTTGTTCTTCGTTCACACATTAGAAAACTGGAGCAAATCCCATTTGGATACCAAATAAACAGATTCCTTCTGAGAGCGGAGGAACAAATCCTGGATAATGCATTCCTTTCCCTCTGAGATGGAAAGAAATTAGACCCTGTTGTCAGCCTGACCTCAGTCTGCACAGGACATCACCAAATGTCTCAAGGTGCTGGTGAGGGAGTCCCTGGTGATCTTGTGCTCAGGCCCCAATAGTGATTTGGGCAGGACAGACTCAGGCTGACTCTGTGGGGCCGGGATAGAAAGTGGAACCGCCCCAGTGGAGCCACAGATTCTGGAGCCAGGCATAATATTACCTACACCTGATCAGCCAACTCTTGGGTACAAGAAAGGGCAAGATTACCCTACTCCAGTAACGCAGCTCACAGGTAGGTGTCGTTTTATTCATGGCTCTGGACAGTGGTGGCCCTGCCCTCCCTTCGCTAAGATGCTGCTTTACACTTACAGATTCTGCCACCATATTCTGCTTAGACCAGAAGGCCCTCACAGAACTGCAGCAGCTCACTGGACAAGATCTGGAAAACTTGAAGGACCCCACACAAAAAGTAGGGCTTTACAAGGTCTACATCAATCTCTCATAATGCAGAAACTGTCCCCTGGATTTTCTATACATCCTCAGTCCAAAGTCTGGCCCTGTCTTGTGGATCCCAGGTGGAGACCAGCCTTTATGTGCAGACCCCAGACGGAATCAACCTGGCTCTGCATTCTTGGGTGTTGCTGTGAAGAGAGGAAAACTAGAGGAGACAGCCCCTCAGGAAGGCTGCTCTCACACATCCTGGAGAACCCCAGGACCTGGGTTCAACTTTTGGGGCTGCAGATTTAGGTGTTGGAGGGGCAGGGAAGTGGCATGCACCCTCCGCACATTCATGGGCATTTGGGCAAGAGGATGAAGGGAATGTTGAGATTCTCAGGCCTACTCCATGGATGTGTGTGTGCCTGGTTGGTTTCCAGTCCCCATGGTCTCTAAATCAGTTTCAGGTCTGAAGATGCCAGGGGCATGACAGAGCCGGAATGGCTAACTGATGCCCTGTGAACTTACTTCTGTAGAAATCTGGCCAACTGTTCTAGAAGGGATTAAAGATTCCAAATAAGCAGAGAGACCATTCTGCCTGCAGATTTTCGGGGCAATGGGCACTTTGCTGCACAACTGTGGGTTGTGACGGGAAGTCTTCGAGGGAACGTCGCCTCTAGAGTGAGGCCTGCGGCACCTTACATGTCTCAGTGTTTGGGAAATACAATTAAAAACAGAATCATCAGAAAAACAATGCACAATGGTAGAAAAGAAAGAAAACTGTTTTATGACACAATCAGACCAAATGTGAAGGACATTACATGCAATCTGCTAAGAGACTGGAAAAACAGTCACTCATGACTCACCATTAGTCCTCAATAGAAGACCTGACAGCACCATTTGTCAGATAGAGTGCATCCTAAATTCACCTGGGAACTGGGAGGCCATCTGTGTTTTTTAATCGGCCATATTTTTCCTTAAATAAGGACAAATAAACTTCATGTCTTCGTGACAGGTAGATTTGCAACGTGGAGCCAGGGGCCTGAAGGCAGATGCCTGCTCTCCTAGACAAACTGTGAGATATGGCTCTCTCTTCTTTGCTACCTATATTTCAAATCAATGATTCCCAGTTCCTAGAGAAAGAATTTCCCGAATCAAAAAGACTGATGGCCA